CTGCGCCGTGAAGTCCACGACCTCCTTGGAGAAGCGGTCGGCGGGCAGCTGGGGCGAGGGCTCCTCCACCACCTGCTTGAGCTGCTGGAAGGGGGTGCCCCAGGACTCGTAGGGGAAGCGAAGGATGGCCAGCTCAATCTGAGGAGGGAGACAGGCTGATGTGGGACCCTGCTGGAGCACAGCCCCACGCAGCCAGCCCACCTCAGCCTCCAAATGAAAAACCTCTTTCCTTACAAACCGTTTTCAATTTGGGTCACACCACACTTTTCTTTTTTTTTTTTTTAAATACAAAGACCCAGAGGCCAGAAATAACTTCCTTTTGAGGTTGGTTCAGCATATTAATGCATTTACAGGAAGCCACGAAAGATATGTAAAATTGGATTATTTAAAAAGATAATAATAACAGCACCTCATCTCTGCACTGGCTTCCAGAGTGCTTTGCTCACCCCAAGGCACCCTCTGGGCTTCAGACAAGTACTGTATGAGCTAGACAAAAAAATAAAATCCACAAACCCAAGAAAAACCCAAGTGCTAGAATATCACTTATAAAGATCTTTGCTAAAACCACCCCAATTACTGAGTCCTTCCTACAAGTCACCTCTGTTCCACCACCCATTCAAGCAGGAAAAAATCTCATCACAGTTCCTGGGCAGTGTCCTCATGTCAAGAGTCAGCTCCCACCTCCAAATGGGTAACAAAACCTCCAGACCTGGCAGGGTGGGATGGGAAGAACAAGAAACCTGAAAGGATGTGGGGCAGAGCCAAACGTCCCCGCCTGCCTCTGGCTCAGATCAGGGGGGATCAGCTGCTGCTGCTGGAAAATTGAATGAAGCCACCAGCCTGGAAAGGCCTGGATTAGCCCTGCAAGTCAACAGCCCTCAAACCTGAAATCAGTCAAATCCCTTCAGAAATAAAAACAGGAAGCCAGCCCAGGAGGAAGACATTAGATGGAATCAGAGAGGCTGGGGCTCCATTCAGCTGCAGGCTGGCAGGCTTTCAAGCAAGGTCCTCTCTCCCATCCAGCTCTGGAAAGATTGAGAGACTTCATCATTCACACAATCTCCCATCCCACAGCTTCCTGCATCTCAGGAGGAAAGCTAGAGCTGATTACATTTCCAGCCAGCCCAGCTCTGGCACGTGGACACCAAGGAGAGGGGCTTGGGTTTGGCACCACAGACAAAACTAGCTGAGGAAGAGGGAATATCTGCCAAGAGACCTCTGCAGCACACACAAACGAGGGGGTGCAGCACCCAAAACACAGGCCACGGCTGACAGGGTGCAGGAAAAACTCTTAAAAATAATCTACCCACAGAGATAAAATCTCCTGGAAAGTGAGAGGTGTTCCCAGGCAGCATCCCCTTGGAGCCAGCAGCTGGGATTTCCTTCATCCTCTGGCACCAGCAGCTTTCAGCTGCTTTCTGCAAGATCTGTTTCTTGCAGGAGGTTGATAAACCATCCTGAGCAGCTGCGATTTTGGAACTGAAAGTATTTCCCCTTCCTGTTGGCTGCTCAGAGCCACCCTGCAGGCAGGACCTGCTGCAAACCATGCCCAGCATCCCTCGCTGCAGCTCACTGGCCCCCATGCTCCTCTGCAAGGCTTTGCTGACCCAGGGCAGGGAGCTGGGTGCAGGAAGGCTGTGACCCAGCTGCAGCAAACCCTGCTCCACTCCCAACCTCTCCAGCCAGCCCATGGGGAACCACAGAGCAATTCAAAGCCAGGCTCTTGGATGCCCACCTAAGCTCACTGCCATCCAGCTACTGCCCCTGGGAGTCTGCCCTCCACACCACCCACTGCAGAGCTGAGTGGAGCTGCTGCTCACAAGCAGCTCTGTGAGAGCAAGAGGAGGGGTAGAAGGAACCACGTGGCAACAACAGACCTTTGTCATGGAATCATGGAATTGTTTTGGCTGGAAGAGACCTTGAACATCATCGAGTCCAACCGTTCCCCAGCACTGCCAGGGCACCCCCAACCCACATCCCTCAGCACCACATCTCCACTGCCTGGAAACCCCTCCAGAGTTGAGGACTCCACCACTGCCCTGGGCAGCCTGGCACAGCCCTGGGCAACCCTGTCAGGGCAGACATTTTTCCTCATATCCAGCCTAAACCTCCCCTAGAACAGCTTGAGGCCGTTTCCTTTCGCCCTGTCGGTTGTTCCTTGGGAGCAGAGCCCGACCCCCCCCTGGCTCCAGGCTCCTGTCAGGAGCTGTGCAGAGCCAGAAGGTCTCCCCTGAGCCTCCTTTGCTCCAGGCTCAGCACCCCCAGCTCCCTCAGCTGCTCCTCCCCACACTTGGGCTCTAGACCCTTCCCCAGCAGCTTCATTGCCCTTCTCTGGCCACACTCCAGCCCCTCAGGGTCCTTCTTGGAGCAAGGGGCCCAAAAATGACCTCAGGATCTGAGGGGCTGCCTCCCCCGTGCTGAATCCAAGGGGAGGATCCTGCCCTAGTCCTGCTGGCCACACCATTTCTAATACAAGCCAGCATGCTGTTGGCCTTCTTGGCCACTTGGGCACACTGCTGGCTCACATCCACCCCTCTGTCCCAGCTCCAGCAGGAAAATGCAAGAAGGGAGAGGAGGAAAGAGAAGGGGCAGGAGACAGGCTGTCTCCTGGTAATCTTGCCAGCTGACTCTGCAAGAGCCACAGTGGTGGCAACACTGGCTGCACACCTCAGCCCACAGACCCCACAGAGACCCCAGTCCAGCCCCAGAGCTGCAGGGTGCTGGGCCCAGCCCTTGCTGTTACCATTGTGATCCCCAGGCTCCAGACATCCGACTTCACGTTGTAGCCCTTCTGGTTCAGCTCAGGGTTTATTCTTTCTGGCTGTAACAGCAAAATGGAAGATATTACAACTCCCTCTCCTTTTCCCAGTGCAAACCCCACAGAGCAGGTCTCTGGCTCCAAAACCCAGGTTGGATGGATTCCCCTGGCTCTTGTCCCTGCAGAGGCAGGATCTGAGGTTATATCCAACACTGATGAAAGCCACATCTTGCTCCACACAACCCACACTAACCCCTTCTCCAGCTCCTGAGTGAGACTGGTACTACCCTGAAGCATGCTCCCTGCCCCAGGAGCACAAGCCCACACAGATGCCACAGATGGCAAAGAGAAATCCAAACTGACTTGAGGGTGAGATTAAATGATCCTGCCAAGAAAAGCCTCAGCATTTTCTCACTGCCAAGGAGCAGCCCTTCCAACCACCACAACCAGCACCAGCCAGTCTTTGACCCTTCTGCAAATGGAAGGTGGTAGAGGAAGAGTCTGTGCAGGATTAACAGACACAGCAGAGCTTACAGGGAGGGTAATCCCATCCTGGGAGGACTCTGCTGACTCTGAGGAGTCAGCAAGTCCAGAGCACTCTGAAGTGGTTTCTATCTCAGGAACCAAGACTGATTTCTAAGTGGCAACCTCTTCAAGTCAAGGCTGCAGGCAGCTGCAGGCTGCCAGCTCCAGTCTCACACCAGCACACTTACAGCCATGTAGGGTTTGCAGCCAGCATCCATGGTCTTTGCAACTGAGTCCACCAAATAGCCACTGATCCCAAAGTCACACATCTTCACGTGTCCCTCCTTGTTGATCAGGACGTTGGAAGGTTTCACATCTAACAGAGAGAACACAAGAGGGCAGATTGGGCTTTTGCAGAGGTATCACAGAGCCTGAGACAACGCCCCACTGACCAAGCAGGGGACCAGGCAGGCCCCAGCACAAGGGAAGGAAGAGAAAAACCCACCAGTCTTTTATTTCAATTAAAGCTTCTCATAGGTAAAACCATGCCCTCCAGAAAGAACAGACCTCCCTGCTAATGAGGCAAGTCAAAAGGTTGAAATAAAATGAGGAGTTAATGCCCAGCTCCTCAAGAGAGATTTATGTGCCCAACAGAGCTTTAAAAGCCCAACTCTACCAAGTTCTCAGGACACCTTGTCTCATGCCCATCATGATCTGTCCACAACTACACAAGGAATTATATCAGGATGAAGAACAGGACCTGAGTGTACAGTTCTCACTTGTGATTTTATAAAGGTCTTCTTCAGCCCTTAGCATGCTAAAACTATCCAGCCAGGAAGGCTTGGGGATTTTGTCCCCAGTGACACATAGGTGCTCATAAAAATACAGGTAGTGAGGAATTCAGTTATTTTATTCAACCTTTCATCTGGAAACAAGGAAGAGAACAACATTGTGCAAGCAGGTGCATGAAGAATACATGCCAAGAACAAGCCTTGGGCACCTAGACGTGTCCACCATGGTCCTGAGTACCATCAGACCCTGCTGTAGGCATCCCTGAGGGACACACCATGCAAAGGAGTCCTCACATGACTTATTTCAAGGCTAGATCTCCAGCCACATCATGCCAACCCCACCAGCCAGCACCTACCTCGATGGATGACAGACAGTTTGCTGTGCAGATGCTCCAGAGCTCGTACAATCTGGGGACAAACAAAGAGACCCTGTTAGTCACACAGCACCAGCCCTCCACTGCAAACACACCACCCACGTGTTCCACGTGCCACAGGCCTCCACAGAGACCTACAACAGGTTCAGGGGATGCACAAGACCACATAAGAACCTAAAGGTCACTCACAGACACAGCCATTTTCCCCAAAATGTCTTCAGGGATAGTTTTCTTCTTCTCCAGTACTTTCTTGTAGAATTTATCTAGGGAGGTGTCCATGAGCTCCATGCAGATCCACACGTCGCCCTGTGGATGGAGGGAAGGCAGCTGAGAGGGAATTCCCTGGAAATCCCCAAGAGCTGAAGGGAGTGATGGAGCTGGATGGACAAATGGACACTGCCCCTTCCACACAGGGTGAGCCAAGGTCCCTGCCACACGCCCCTGTTGGCCATGCCACCAGCACACAGGCTCCACACTAGACAGTGATGGGCACGGATGTCCAGGTACCACCCAAGCCACCTGCAATGGCCTCCCCTTGGGGGGCCACCCAAGCCAGTCTGGGCTGTGGACAACACACATGGGTATCTGCCCTCTGAGTGAGGAATGGGACCTGGCCAACGCTGCCTGAGGAGGCAAGCCTTTGACTTTAGCTCCTGGCAGTATCACGGGCAGCCCAGAGAGGCCAAAGAAAGCAGAGGTGGTTTGGGACACCAACCGTGTGTCCCCCTGGTGCTGTGCAGCCCACCAACCACCCACCAGCTCAGTACCTCTCGGAAGAGGGCTCCGTAGAAGGTGACAGTGTAGAAGCAGTCAACTGTCCTCATGGAGATGTCCAAGTCCATCAACAACCTCTTCTGCTCCTGAGTGTTCACAGTCGCTCGAATCCTCTGAGACAGACAGGAAAGAAGAAGGGTTTGATGTAGGCAGGATGACCCCACTATCCCTCAGCTTGACTCAGAGGCCCTGCAGTTCTGAGGCCAAGGGAAGTATTTTTTGCTTGCTTTGTAGTCAGTAGCACCCAGGAGATGCCCAGATTGCCTCTTCCAGACAGCACCTTAATGAATGACAAACCCTTGGCAAGCTCTGCAGCGGATGCAGGATCAGGCCAGCAGCCTGGACAGGCATTCTGACATCCAAACCTTGCACTATCTAACTGGATTTCCACCAAGCCTGGCTTTCAAAGCCTGCTGATCAACCCCACAGCACCCAGCCAGCATCAGCGCAGGGCCTTCAACAGCCAAACCACACCAGGAACCCCACAGGCTGCCCAACGGAGACCACTGGAGCTCAGGAGGGTCTCTCTGCTCTGCTGGAGCTGGCCATCCCCCTCCCCACCACGCTCAGCAGGCAGCTCTCTCACCTTCACAGCCATGATGGTGCCGCTCTGCGCGTGCCGCACTTTCTCCACCACCCCATAGGCCCCACGGCCCAGCTCTGAAATTGTCACCAGGTCATCAGCTTCCACCTCAAAGTTCTTCAGGGAAAAAAAGACAACAAAAAAAACAGCTATAAGCATGCTTATCAAGAAGGACACCAGGAGAGGTCCAGCCCTTGCAGCTCACTCACACAGAGCAGTTCCCAACGACAGTACCTATGGGACTCCACCACCTCCTCTATGTACCACAGGCACCATGTTTAGAGAAGATGAGTTTATTTTTTGCTCTCTTGAACCACAGCCCAAACCTTCTCACCCTGTACTCAGCAGGGCTCAATTAATTCCCCCTCTGCAGCTAGAGAACAGGACTTTCATCCCTTAAGCCAGGGCACGCTGCCACTGAAAAGGGCAGCAAAGGTTGGTGCCTCTCTGCCTGCTGGGGATTACCCACACAAGGGTATTTCTGCAGTTGCTGAATTACTTGCAGGATTTTAACAGCTCCTGTGCCAACACGGGCAGCAGTCAGGAGCCCCTGCCCCAGCTCCACGTGCCCAGGTGCAGCCCCCACCTCACCCTGCACCCCAAGAGATCACCTGCCACAAACACACCTACGTGCCCAATAACTGCTGGGATAAAGCCTCTCTGACATGGGGTGGTGCACACAGCAGCCCAGCAACGCAATTCCTCAGCCCTGGGGAGCTCAGATGGGGTTTACCTGCTCCTGATACTTCCCCCACCATCAGAAAGCAGCCAGCAAGCTAAAACCTGAGCTAGCACCAACCCAGGAGCTCAGGCGGGTGCAGCGACATCCATCTCTCTTCAAGCTGGCAAATTCCCACTGCCAGGGCTCAGCCACACGAGTGCCCCACGCAGCGGGGAGCCAGCGAGCTCCTGTGCAACCCAGGAGCAAGTTTCCCCCAAGAGACCTTACCCTGTAATTGGCAGCTCTGCTGGGCAGGGCCCAAACCGGCCGAGTGAGACGCACGGGCTATTTTTGGACGCTGCGTTCATCGCTCTTAATAAGTCACAGACCTTCTTTTAGCCAGGCTTTATCCAGCCTCCAGTTTTCCTCCGGTCTCAGGGAACAAAAAATAATACCAGGATGCCAAATTGCCCCAGTAGCCACAAAGGCAGCGAGGGTGGGAAAGGCGTGGGGCAGAGCCGGATACCGACCCCGCGAGCTACGCCCCGGGCGGGCAGGAAACGGCCCTTGGCTTTAAGGAGCCAGGCTGGGAGATGTGGCTGGGGGGAAAAAAAAGGCCGCGGCCCGGGCCCCCAGCCACCAGCTCCGCAGGACCTTCCTGGTTCAGTTTATTGGAGGCAGATGTGCCTGGCAGGCGGCCGAGGCAGGGAGCGAGGGAGGTCTGGGCTTGAGCTCAGCACTGAGCTATGTGCTGCCCGGCACAGGAAGGTGCCAGCCCTCGGCCCTTTCCTGGGCAGGATGGTGGATGCAGAAAGGAGGAAAGCAGAGCTCCCTCAGGGGATGCGTCCAGCCCCCAGCCCTGCAGCCCCAGGCAGCTGGCAGAGGAGCAGTGCGGGCTCAGGGCCCCGCAGAGGCCTCCAGGAAGGATCTGGTGGTGCTCTTCAGGACACGTGTTCTGCAGTTGTTCCAGGTTATTGTTTGGTTTTTTTATTCCTGGCATTTACCCTGAGGCTTCCCCAGAAGCTGGCGGTTCCCAGCACACTCCAGGAACCAGCACTGCCCTGCCCAGCAACGAGAGGTGATGCACAGGCAGAGCTGGGGCTCCCCTCCCCTGATTATGGGATGCTCTGCATGACCTGCACAGATCTGATGGACCCGAGGTCATCATCCACCCCTGTGGCCTGAAGCTGGCCTCCTGCCCAAGCCCTCTTCCTCCAAAACACCTGGCCCAGAACCCTGCTGCAAACACTGGAGCAGGCAGAGCAGGGAAGGAAGCAAATCTAGAGAGCTTCCCCAAGCTACAGCACTCTCCCCTTGCACACAGCAGAAGGCATCTCTCCCTGAGCTATTAATACACACAACACAATGGCCAGAAAACGGCACAGGCAGCAGGATTGTTCCCTGGACCCAGCCAAAGCTTCCCCTCCTCTCCCCTGACCCTAAAACCTTGCACCAAGGGGCCCAGATGCCATCCAACCAAGCCACCTCCCAGCCTGGAAGGTAAGCAGCTAGATATAGGGCTGAGTCAATGCACAGTATTTTTAGCTCACTTGCAAACAGCCTTCTGCAGCCCCAGGAGAACCAGTAACAAGAGAATGAAATAAAAGAGAGACAGTGGCTATTTCTAGCAGTGTTTTTCATCAGGTCACTAGGAAAGGCTTTGGAAAGTGGGAGAGAAGCTTTGTGCCCAGCTTCTCCTGGGCCCCAGGCAGTAACACAGCCCTGCAGGCACACAGGACAAAGGGGACTTGTCTGGGGCAGCAGGAGGGCATGGTGAGGCCACACTGATCTCAGGCAGATGGGCTGGGTCCACCCGTGCAGACCGAGGTGGCTGGTGGGGCTGTGATCAAGGCACTGCTGGGATCTCACACGATGGCCAACCCTGCACATTGAGCCTCTGATGCCTTGCCAGCACTGCCCACAGGCAGGAGAGACCAGCCAGCCAGGGCACGGGCTCAGAGACGAGCCACCTTGCAGGCAAGGTGACATTTTCAGCTCCCCAAGTGTCACTGCTCTGAATACACCCAGACACCCCACTGCTCCACAGGGGAAAGGTCCTGCTGTGGGGTGTCTCACCCCTGCAAAGATGCATCCAGCACGAGGCTGCACCAGGAGGGCACCATCCTTCTCACGGGGTGCTCTGAAATCTCAAGGTCTGATCTGACAGGTTGTCAGGCATGATGCAGAAAACCCACCATGCATGGGGCAAACAAAGTTGGGAGCAAGCCAAAAGAGAAGCCACATTGACACGTACCTTTTCTCCAATGGTAATGAATGCTCTGGAGTCCAAGTTCCTTGGGGGCCTGCAAGAAAAGAGAGGCAGTCAGGAGAAAGCCCAGCTTCATTAACCCTTCTGGGGGGGTTCATGAGCCAGGTTTCATGTTCCTTTGAGCACTTTCAGTGGCTGCTTTCCACCATGCCTTGTTGTCGTGAGCGTTTGCAGGGGGCTGGTGGGAACCCACAACTGCTTTCACCATGCCAGCAACACCTCAACCCACACCCATGGGGCACTCACTGCATGCAGGCAGCAAGAACCCCAGAGAGTCACCCAGGTGAGACATGAATCAGACCAAGCAGCTACGAAACCATCCCTGCTCAGGAGACAAGAGACCCAGGGGCTGAGACGTTTCTGCGGCAGAGCAGCTCAGCTGTCATGTTTTGACAGGCAGGTGTTGTAACAGGGCAGCCACGTAGCCCGAAACACCCGCTGAGGGAACAACAGGTAATTCCTGAGCTGTGAGTCACTTGTGTACCCTCGCAGGCCTGTCTCAGGCAGTGTGACAGGCAGAGCAGCCAGCACCTCAGCGTCACCCTTCGCGCCACACCGCGCAGGCGAAAGTCTTCCTTGATGGCTTCTTTCCCCAGAGCTGCCCACTTCCCATTATGGGCAGCCTGGTACTTCTAGAGCCAACCCGAGCGTTTTGGCCCTCGTGCCTCAATCCTCTGCCCTCCCCATCCCCTGGGACCTTCTAAGAGTGGAGATTGCCCAACTGGTTTAGCCTCTCCATTCCCATCGGAGCACTCTGGCAGCCTCCAGCTTCAAGGAAGTACTTCAGGTCCCAGCAAAAAGCCTTGCACTGGGCAAATATTTGCACTGCAGCTTGAAAAGCACAGAGAAAAAGCAGTTGTGGAGAGCTTGAACCAGCCTCTGGGCACACAAGCTCCCTGCAGACTTCACCAGGAGTCCTTCTCCAGGGGAAATTCAAACCCCATTGGAGCAGGGATGGATGCACCCACGCAGGAAGGGGGTGGCTGCTGCACACAAGGCTCAGCGTGCCCGTGCCGGGCTGCAGAGCACTAGCAGTGGAGTTCCCCTGGTTCCCCCTCCAGCAGAGCCACCCCATCTACCTGGGGTTTTCACTCGTGGCCTTTCCCCTGCGGGGATTTCACTGCTCTCCTGGAGCTGGGAGGGTCTCTAGAACGGGTTTCTGGAGCAAACAAGGCTCAGTGGTGGAGATGCAGCTCAAGGTGTTTTGGAAGAGCATCATGGAAGAGGAATTTTAGCCATCTGCTCTTTGTCAAACCAGGTGCCACTACCCTGGGCTCTCCCCCACAGCATAATAAGTATCAGCAGCACGAAGTAAACAGGGCAGAGAGGAATTCCAGTGCCCTGAGACACTGCTGGGCACCGGCCCCAAGCAGCACAACAACGTAGGATGTCTGTATCCTCCTCGCACCAAGGCAACGAGCTGCAAACAACTCAAAGTAGCCCTGACACGTAGGTCAGTGGGAGGATGACCTGCCATGCAGAGCATCCCCCAACCCTCACCCCCCTGCTCCAGCTGACACCACTTTTTCTCTGCCCCTGCATTAAAAACCTTTCTCTCTTCTTCCCTCGGGCAGATTTGCTCTCTCCACCCTGCCTTTGTCCTTTGGCATTGGCACAGCCACGGCAGGAAGGCTGAAGAGAGTCTCCCAGTAGCCTCTCAGC